TTTTTTTTTTTATTTCAGAAAAGCTCTGAATGTTGAATGTGTGTAATTCTCCAGGAATGTAACAAGTTGATAAAAACCCCACACAAGTCCATCCTCCTTACAGAAAAGTAAAAAGCTGGAATTTCTTTTTTGGATATTTGTTTTGCAGCGTTCTACGTCTTAAGGCAGAGAATAGCCAGCCTAAGGTGCCAGCCCAAAGGTTAGCTGAACATATTTCTTGAAATAATTTTGGCAAGGTTATGACTTGGAGTTATGGCCTCTAAGTCATAAGTTTACATGAAAATTCTAATACGTGACAAGAAGATATCGATGTTTTTATTTTTCATTTTTTAATTATTTGATTTGGGGGAAATGAGGGGTGAAGGAAATCAGCAGGGCTATTTTATCCCAACATCTATCCAATGTGATACTTATTTTCTGAACTATTAGACTTTTCCCTTTCACTCTTTGCCTTTTTCTTTATTTCACCCTCAAGTCCTGGGCAATATTTTTGCCTTCCTGCAAATTGTTTGTCCTGCCAGCACTGTATTTACAAGCTGTCAGACTGAGGCCCAATTTGCTTTCACAGTATTGAATTGCCTGCAGTGGGAGGTTAGTTTGGTATGGCTGAGGCACTTATTGCCCCCCATTGCCTGCTTTGCACTTCCACTTCATGTTGCCATTCCCAGAACAGGAAAACTTTCCAGGTCCTGGTCTACAGTGGTGTACAATGTGGCATGTTAGAGCTAAAGGAAATCAACATTAGTTTCTGTTGGTACCCAGGGCTGCTGTCTGCTGTAGCTTAGGAATTGATACATCTTTTTTACTTATCCCTGTGGCAGAAGTACCAATCTTCAGACAGGGGAAGCAAAGCAATGAGCCATTCATCTGTCTGTGAAGTCAGCTTTGTTGCTGTGGTACAGAAGTGACTCTGCTGAAGCCAGTGGATGTTATATTCAAATAAACAAAATAGCAGTAGAGCCCAGTTTATCTTTTGCCACCACACACAGAGACACTCCTGGCAGTCTTCTTCTACCTGGTGGAACTCGCTAGGCACATAGAAAGATTCTGGTAGTGAACAGACATTCAAGAGGACATCACACCATTCTTTAAGCATTTATAATGAACCACTTGAAATGCAAACAAGAAAAGATTGGCAAAGCAAATATTTCAAATATTGGCAAAGAAATAATGAGCTTAAATTATGCATGTGTTAGATCAGATTTTTGCTGATTTTCAAAAAGAGTATATAAGTGTATAAGCATTAGATTAACTTCCACTGACTTCATAAATCCTGTTGATTTCAGTGTTATCCATGCTTAAGTTATGCATGCTTGTTAGTGCTGTTCTGAATAGCAAGGCATTCATGAGCCAGGGCCTGGATTTGGCTGTGTGGTTTAGAAACACATTTGTCAGCAGTTGTAACCAAGCAAAAAATTCACTGCAATGAACAGCCCACACTGGTTGCAGTTTGTCATGTTAATGTACTGTTACCAGAATCATATGTGCAAACTGAGTAACTGATTTACCCAGGCTAATGTAGTAGTTGTGCATGAAAAATTAGGAGCTGCTTGCTTAATGGAACTGTGTGTTTTAGATAGAAGCTTAAGCATGCATTTTGACATTTGTTATCATGAATGTCGCAAAAAAGGGGAAGTAATTTGTGAAAAAATATTCAGGCATTAGATGCTCCCATTTTATCTGATGATGATATCAGTTTCTAGTTACAGAAGTTGGTCAAGGACATTTGTTATCTTCAGAAAAACTAGAGTAAGGAATGTTGTGCTGATGAAATTTTCTGAAAATTATTACCCAGTTGCCCTAGTCAGGCTTATTAGGCTTTGCTGAGATACATATTGTGTTTACTAATACACTTATTTGGGAAGCAAAGTCACTTTCTCAGAAATAATTCTGTTCTGTGAGTTATGAGTATGATGTGCTTTTACCAGCTACTGGTAACTGTGAGGTGGATTAAGCTTTATAGATTCTCCTGCATTTGTGAGTAGTTGAAGTGTGTAGTTGAACAAAACAGAAACATACACCTTTGAAAGAGCAGCAGTGATTTACTTTACAAATCAGCTCATACTTTTGAGATCCTAGATCATAATTACCATAAATAAGGCAGATTCGTTTTCTTGAGCATATGTTTATGCAATTGCATAATATATGAAGAATTGTAAAAAGTAAATAGAGAGGTGAGCTGAAGCTGACTCTGAGGAAGAGAAGCATGATAGAATTTGAGGTTGTGGTCTGTTAGCACTGCAGGAGAAAGGCAGCCAGTTTCAGGTGAAGGAGGCAGCATAGAGGAGAGCTTGTTTCACCATGCAAGTCTTGTTATAAAGTTGGCACTGAGGGAACCTTAAGTAGTGATCTTGAGATTGGAAGTCTGTTCTGCAGTCAGCAGTGTAAGAGGATCCAGTAAAGGTTTGTGAAGCTGAAGAGTATGTAATCATCTCTGGGCTGCTGCACAGATTACTTTCTGTGTTTGAGCAAATTGAATTTAAAATTCAATTTAAGGAGCTGGGATCTGGAGTCAGAATAAATAAGGGCCTATATCTTACTTGGGAAGAGAGAGCAGAAGCAAGGCTGTTCAGGCAGATGGTCAGCATAGTTTGTTTCAGATGCAGGTATACTTGTGCATATTTTTAGACTGCAGAGAGGTGAAAATAAAAGTTCAAGGACATGCTGGACATCTGCAGCTTGGCATTTTGAGGCAGGTTTGAGTGTAAAGACTAAAGAGGGCAACTTCTGTTAATGAAACCCTCTTGTAGGCATCACATAAAAAGAAAATGCAAGGACTAACTTATTAAGGAAGAGAAATTTAGAGACAAAGCAGAGAAAAAGAATGTAAGAATTACACTCAGTGCTGTTTTGATGAAAGACTGAGTGCTGGAAAACTGAAGAAAAGTTAAATTGCTAGAGATACTCCACTAAGAAAGCTCAGAGATTTCCATTGTTTGGCCACAAATGAAGAGGGAAGAGGTGGGCAAGTAAGGAACCAGGCAGTACAACTCCACCAAACAGGGTTTGGTAATCAAGAAAAAAACCATTAACATTCAATTTCTAGACAAGAAGTAGCAGAGGGGACAGCATGCCCTCAAAAGGAGGGCAGCTTAGTGCAGAGGACTAAGAGGTACCTAAGAGGTACTTCCAAATCAGTTCTGCAGGGAGAAAATAGAGATGAAATTAAACCCCCAGCATTATAGACCCATAACAAATTGCTTTGAATGTTTTGTTTGTTGTATTTATGCAACAATTAAAAAATAATAATGCAGAGTAATTCAGCTGTGCTCAGATACCACCAGCAGCAAGCAGTGGCTGTGAAGAGTGGCTGCTTCTGGCTTTTACAGAAGCATAACACATGCTAACAGCATGTGCATTTCACCAGAAATTTTTTTCTTCCTTTCTCCCACGCTTGGACAAAACCCCAACAAACCAATTATAAATCCAAACCACTCATTCATGTTTCAATTCCTTGTGTTATTTTTACAGGAAGCTTAATTTGTCCTGAAGTTTGAGATTTAAAATGTGGTGTTTGCCACTTTATTTGGAAGAAAAATGTAGTTCTTGCCAACCTTTAAAACAGGTACATGGTTAGATTTATGGCAAATTAAAAGGCTTTAGGATACCTCCATGACTCCATTGAAGCTGGTGGGAACTGAGAGCAAGTCTTCACATCTGGCCCCAAAATAATTTTAAAATGATCAGACTGAAATGAATAGTCATGAGACCAGAGTTGATTAGCTGATGTTATGAATTATTAGTCCACAAAAATAGTTTGGTTGTAGTTTATTGTATGGCGTAGCTAAATAAGCAACACTTGACTAATGATAAAAACAGCTGTAATTAGGAATTTTTTTCTGTCTCTCTCCACATTACTTCCCAACGGGAGTGCAGTTTAAGTGCTTTTAGGTGGGTCTCTCTTGATACTGATTCAACAATAAATTGGGAGTGCAGTTTAACTGCTTTTAGGGAGGAATCCTTCAGGTAGGGCTCTCTTGATACTGATTCAACAATAAATTAGGAATGTAATTTTTAGTGGCATTTGCATATACAAGTGTAAATTTAGCTTTTCTTTAAAACTTCTATTTATAAAGAGCAGAATGTTTTTACTTCTTTTTGACAACCTTTTTCAGACTGTCATCTTTGGGACTTCATTGCCTTCAGCGTGTAAGAGAGTGACCTTCTTAGCCTGGTGTAACTATTCCCTGTCTACACCTCCTTCTTGTCTAGTAGGGAAGCAAGTGTTACATAATAGGCTGAAATACTTGGAAATGGCTTATTTCAGTCATTGTAAATGTGAGTTGATTAGAGGGAAATGATGTCATGATGCAAAAAATATTTATTTGGAGACTTTTTCCCCACTACTTGTGAGTCTGCTTGTGTAAAAAAAAAATCAAATAAATGCCCACCACAAATGTGTCTGTGTGTGACCAGAGCGAGTGAAGTATTCTGCTCTATGTAGAATTTTGCAAGAAAACAAGTAGAATGGAAAACACTCAGTCACATTAACACATGTACTGTATGCTTAGACTCATACCAAAGAGTTTAAATAGTTGTCTGCTATTAAAAGAAATGCTGAAAGTCAGGCTTAGGCTTATTTTTATACCTGTATCTATTGTCAGTGCTAGAACCCACTGGGAGTCAGTGAGTGTATCTGCTGCTGTGCAGGGCCAGGTCCTCCTTTGGAGAAGGGAGTGTTTACAGGCTGCAGGTGGCAGAGCCAGAGCCAGCACGTGTCTCTGGGCCTGGTCACTGTGGTAGGTGTCAGTGGGAAGGGCCTACAGATGTCCCTAGCAGAACCCCAGCCAGGCATGCAGACTTGGTGGAACACCATCTGATTCTTGAGTCCTGAGCACCCTGCAAAGCCCCACTAAAGTTAATGGGAGGATATACAAGTCTTTTCGTGAGTGTGGCTTGATTGCTCATAGGAAATGCCATGAGATTTATCTGTGGTGTTGGCTGAGCTACAGATGTTGCTAAGCTTACTGCAAAGTGTTTTTATTCTGTGCAAGGAAATTCTTCGGTTGCAACATTGTGTTGAATTTCAGCAGCTGTGTATAAATAAGATGCATAATGCTTAAGTAGCCAAAGTGAGTAGAAGGCACTCTAATAAACAGAATTTCTAGAAGTGCAGTGTCTGGCAGCAAACAGAGGTTTACAAATACCTGTTTAATGCACACAAAAAAAGCATTTTATGATGACTTTGAGTGTATGGATAGTGGCTTGTTAGTCATTGGGAATCTTTCCTTGGGGTAATAGAGACTTGAGCTGTAGACTGTTGAGGCTGAGATCTCCTTTAACTGAGACTTTTAAAAACAGGAAGGACACGTATCTGCCACGTGATTGAAGTGTGTTTCTTAATTTTACCTCGACACCAGGAGACAGACTAGATCAGCAGTTAACCACCTGCATGTCATACAAGACATTAAATCCTGTGTGGTATGGAGCTATGTTTGTTGAGATGTGTTGGACAAGATAAACTCTTGGAGATCCCATAGATCAGATTCTTGATGTAATAACATGGCCTGTGTCACAGCTTTCATATCTGTAGAAATTGTATATTATCTGTTTTAACAAATGCTAATACATAATTTTTGTTCCATCCAATATCTGACCCACTTGCTTAACTGAGAATTAAGCGAAACATCTGATTCCCAATACAAATGTATTTGACCTTTTGAATTGGAGGAACATTTTAATTTCTAAATGAAATTAAAATCTCATTTATTTCATTACTGAATTTTGTAAGGCTTTTCATCCTCGAGTATGAGATCTTTTTTTTTTTTCTCTGAGTTGCTACTAATGTACAATTTATTCAGTTGAGGGAGGGACCAAGGCTTTAAAAAAGTCAGCTAAACTGAAGTTGCCTAGTGACTTCAAAGTTATGAAGTTGGTCTTCATAGTCTGCATTTTGCCACTATCACCTCTAATTAGACTTGGGTCTATGATGTCAGGAAGAGAAGAGTCTCATTGTCTAAATGAGCTCTTACACAAAGAAGATACTTTTATTTTTCTATGACTGCTATGTTTTATGGCCACAGTGATTAAAAAAGCAGTAATTGCTTCCAAGTACGATGTTCTAGAAGTTTCTCATGATGTATCAGTTGCTCTTCAGGGAGATCAGTCCATTACCCAAGGACATACTTTTTGAAGCATCCCTCTTAGTAGTCTAAGAAGCCTCTTTCCATTACACTTCCATTGAGAAGTGTTTCTGAATCTGAATTCCGTATCTTTGTTTCTGGAGAGTATTTACTGAGGAAAAAAATAATCTTACATTGACTAAAAACATCCCTTTCTGTTGCCTTTTAAGATATTTCTAAACACAGATTTTTGGGAAAGGGACTGCACCATCATATTAGGAAGATCTGTCTAGAGCAGCCCTGTAGATTTAAAACAAAGTTTTATGAGGGGACATCACTGACTATATGTTTAAACAAAAAACATGCCTGAAAATAAAGCACATGGAGTAAACTCCTGCTACGGTAACAGTTGCTTCTTTTCATGTATTTGCAGGAATTGCTGATTCTAGATGGTTTGAATATTACAGAAAAGATTTTAGAACATCAGAGATGTATTTGCATAGTTCTTCCACAACCAAAGTGTATCTCTTGTTTCTGTTTTAGTTTTGCTTAATTCAGCCCTGTTGAACAGCTTGGCTAGAATGCAAGCTACATTTTTGTGTGTGTTCTGGCAGATCTCTATTAATTTACACCCTTAATACATCCAGTTTTATGATAGTTTGTTGTCAGATCAATTAATATTACAGCTGGTTCTAGTTAGTTACTGTGCAAATTCCAAATGATACTGTTAGTTTATAAAATGCTTTAAGTTTATAGAATTCAATGCCAGGATAAACAGATAAATCCTGATTACAGGGTATTCAAGTTATGCCACCCTCTGATTTTTGTCTGTTTTGTGTCTGTCTTGCTTAAGCAGTGAGCTCACCAGATTTCTGCATCTGCATTTTGTCATATAATGATAAACAACATTTTAGGACATAGTAAATACTTCAGTTTTCCAGTAGGTTGGAACAGTATGTTTAGTAATAGAAAAGCATTTCTAATAAAATGACTTGGAAATGTTGTTTAAAATTTTCATCTGTCAAATGGTTTCCAGAGTTATGAAGGATTTGTTACACTCTGAAAATGTTCCTGTTAGCTAATCCTACATCAGTGGAACTACATTTGTGCATGAATTCTTATATTTCTTCAAAGCCAATGCTTTTGTTATTTGATATTGAAGTTCTAAAAGCTTGTTTTGTGAATTTGGTGTTATATTGAGACAGGTACCAAAAAAATGGCTTCCTAACTATTATTTCTTGGAATTCTATATTTACTTGACTCTGGAAGCAGAATAGAACATAAGTTCTGAGTTATGATCTATACATTCTCAGACTGTGTCTATACAACAGGGTGGATAATAAATGCTTGAAATTTACTGAGTAGGAATGATTTGGACATACACAATCATAAAGCAGCATATTACAGTCAGTGCTGCTTTTGCCCAGTCCTTTTTTCCTCCATAACAAAAGGGAAAAATAAAAGTAATTCCCATGCCAGAATCCAGGCACCCAGAAGGGAGAGATTCAGGCAGAATGTTGCTCAATAAGGGGTAAAGAGTGTTGCCTTGTAGTCATAGAGGAAATGTTGAGATTTGTGCTACTGCCTCCTAATGACTGTACCATTGGCTCTTTGTGTTGCCTATGACATCAATGGACACATTTTCTCTATAGGTGGGGCATATTTCAGGTGCACCAAATTTAGTGGCATGAATCATAGTGCATGCATACATAAGGCAAGTGAAGGCACTGTACCTGCTTGCTGACTAGGTATTGAAAGGGTTTAACATCCCAGAAACAGCATGATGTAGTTTTATACAAAACCAGACTACTAACAAGTGTCTCCCTCTTCTCACAAGTATTGGGGTATTAGGTTTGGGTGTTTGGGGTTTTGTTTTTGTTTTTTTTTTTTTTGAAAGTGTACCTGATGTTTGAACTGCTGTATTTGAAGCATTTAATGTTGGTGAAGGGAGGAACATAAACAGTACAATTTGTTCGGTCATTGCCATTTGTTTCAAAGTAAAGCACTGTCAGCTGTGACTGGAGTGGAAGAATAACATGTATTCATCTATTTGCAGCTATATGCCAGCCAGGATGCAAACATGGTGAATGCATTGGGCCAAACAAGTGTAAGTGCCACCCAGGATACACTGGAAAAACCTGTAACCAAGGTAAGAAATAATTTATCTTTTAAATCACAGAAGTATTGTTGGCCCTTCTACCTGCCCCTGCCCCCAATGCTGTGTCACCTGTGTCTATAGGATAATGAACTCATATACCAGGTTTCTTACTGCTGTAGTGATTTGGATATTGGGACTAACATTTGTAGAGAGAAACATCTGCAGTGTGATGGTACAGAGGAAAAATGGCTTTTATTCAGCTGCAATCAATGAGATTAATATACAGTATGTATTTACATGGTCTCCTGTATGTGCAACATATTATTTAAACTTTGTGGTCAGGATTGTTATTTGATAAAGTCAGCATTTTCAGTTTTAGGTAATGAAATAATATTTGTTTAATTAAAAAAACATAATTCGTAGAATCTTATTTTTGAGTTTCTAATCCTGAACTAAGTAAGTAGGAATAAGCTGTCCTGTGTGCTGAAGAGTTGGTGTAAAGATGTTATCTTACTGAATTATCTATACAGTTTCATTGGGTTGTTTATTTTCCCAAAAAATATGTCTAAAACATCTAATGGTATAAAGATCATAGAGTATAAAACAGAATTGTAATACATGGTTTATTAGATTTAGATAGCTAATATCTGTTCACATGCAGAGATCTCAGTCAGACTGTTCTCTTTTCCAGCTGTCTCTGTTTTCTGAGTGCTGAGTAGTGTGATATTTTCTTGAACTATTTTCTTGTTTAAAAATGTGTTTGCTACCTTTCTTAGGCCATTTTGATTTTTAGAGTTATATTCTTTAAAATAGATAAATATTTCTTTTTTGATTTACTAATCCTTCCCTAAATGATGTGGAAATGAATGTTGTGTTTTTCAGTTTTCTTGTAAGTTTCTGTCATCTCTCAAATTATCCTGTTGTCTTTTCCCTTTACTCTGGGCTGATGTTTTAAAGGATGGGTTGTTGTTATTTTATTTTACACAACTTTTAGTCAGTCTAGAACTTTTTTAGAAAAAGGTGCAGTGAACTAACAGTTGTTATAGGTAACAGTTTTTATATGTACTAATTACTTTAAGAATATCAGAAGAACGTTGTGCAAATTCCTGGAAGCTGAGACTTGAACTAAACTATTTTCCTGTCACTAAGTGCTAAGGAAGGAAAAATGTAGAGATACATGGTTAAAGGAAACCCTTTACACAGTATTTATCAAATATTCTTCCATAGTTTGGTGACAAAGTTGCCATGGCAGATGTGCATGAGGTTTCTGAGATGCCTACTGACTGTGGTGCCCCAAATGTACACCAGGGTGAGACCCTGGAGCTGTTCCTGGGGTCAGGGTTATGCATTCTTGCCATATGCTGATTCCATATTAGGATGAGACCTGAAAGTTCCTAGTGGATGCAGAGTCTGCTCTTTCTAGGAGGAGATTCAAATGTAACAGGATAAATATGACCTATTATTATAGCTTAATATTGTACCTGTCCTTTTCAGTCTGTGGCCCATCTTTCTCATTTCTGTTCTAGAATAATAATAGAGAGTAACGGTGTTGGCAGGAGAAGGAGTTCCCCTGCAGAGATGGAAATCTTTCTAGGATGTGTGAATGGTGCTGGACTGTAAGGTATGCTCAGGCATTCGTTGAGTACAAGCACTGATAAACAGGCTTTATGTTTCATCTGTCCATGAGCCCTGTGGATCAAGCTATGTTCCAGGAACCAAACCCAGAGAAGAACTCAGCCTCAGCAGAACTGTTGAACCCTGAGCGTGTGATGATGCTGGATGCTTGTCCTTTTTTTCCAGTGCTACTGCAGCTGCTGTGGCAGTCTAGACTTTAGATCACTCAGAAGTTAGGATTAGCTGATAATTTTTTTATTATGATGCTATCATCAGCAATTAAATGGCAGTGACTTTGCACAAGGGCTAACAATGTGCTCTCCCCACAGCACTCAAACCTCAAGTGGCTTTAGTGTTTTCCTTCTAGCTTTTTCATCCCAGGCATACAGCTGTAACCAATTAAGAAAAAAAAGCAGAGCAACTTGAAAGAAAACACCCTGTGCCAGCTCTCTAATTTATAGTGACAATAACACAACTCGTATTTCTTTCCAAATGTGTTCATCGGAAAACTGATAGCGGCTCTTCAAAAAGAAAATGCAAATAATATTCAGCAAGACAAATACAAATAGTTGAAAACTTCAGATTAACTTCATGGAGTTGGACAAGGTTGTCTTCATGCAAAAAATGTAAGGCTGCTTTTCTCTAACTTATTATCTCTTTACCCTGTTTCTTCCAGGAACGTGATGAAAAGTTTGCTACTTGAAATTTTTGTCAGCACCTGACATATATGCATATTTATTTATAAATGATGAAGTAATGCATATTACTTTTTTTTTTATGCCTTCTTCCTATCCTGTGAAGATGAACAGCTATATACAAGTCCAATTGGTCAGAGCAGTGAAACACTTCTATTCCACTCTGTGGATTATCATGCAAGAAATCAAGGGGTCAGGTGGTCCTGTGTTTCAGGTGGCTTGATCCTCCTACCTGCACAGCTTCACATAGAAGTGCAGTTTCTTGTGAAGGGGTTGGAGGTTGATGGCTGAAGGCTGTAATGTGAAAGCTTAACCTGCCTTTAGCAGGCAGAGCAAGCAGCTGATTGTATTTCCATGGTGCTGTGTGACTGTACTCGGAACAGTTTTGAGTCTCTCACCACCAATACTTGTGCTTGTCACTTTCATTTGTTTCTTTCCTCTGTTCTCCTTTCTTGGCTTGTCCTTTTTAATTTTTTTTTTCTGAGTTCCTTTTTAAATTGAGAGCGATGAAAATGGTTTATCAGGTTAGCTAAAGACAAACTGTGATTTGCATAAAGCTGGAAGCTGAAGAAAATGAGGGTTGTTAACATCCAAATTTGGCAGCTGCTGATTAATCAGACTAAGTGATGTATAAAAAGAACCCCCTCTTCGTGTGACACAAATCTCTCATGAGTTTGACATGGTAGTGTGATAGCAGTTACTGGAAATTAAAGCTGATCTACTGTTTATACTCTGATGAGAACAGTGTCATTTATGTAGTTGGTTTCTGGTCCTTGGTTTTCTATTTTCTAAGTTGAGGAAATGTGATACTGAATATCTGACTTCTGTGTTGCCTGATCCAAGTTAGCTAATAGGCAGAAAAAGGCAGAAAAAGTTAGAGTGCTGGAGTCTGCAGAAGCTAATGAAAAGAAAATCACAGAGTACGTCTCTTGTTCCTAGGGATAAGTGCCCTATTGTTAGGTGTGTGCTGAAGTTGGTCCCAGATCACGTGTGGTGCCACAGAGCAGTCAAAGAAATCATATCCGGATTTGCCAGCATAGCACTCTTGTCCTTTCCTTGCACTCACATTTTCATTCCATTTCTTCAGAAACAAAATAGTTGCACTCAACAGCCTGTGTTGTTATAAACCTGCTTTCCATAGTGCCCAAAACTGGCAGTCTGCTTTTATGTACTCTACTGTTTTATGTTCATTTGAAATTAAAAATGCTGGGTTTGCATTGACTGTACAGTTGTTGGCAATGTGGGAAATGAAGTGGCTGAGCAATGAAATTTGCAAGTGCAGGACAGTGTGTGGACATTCCCACAAAGAAATTCAAGGGATTAAACTTTTTAAAAGAAATTAAACTTTTTTAAATAGTGTTGCACTTCATATTTTAAATTCTAGTGTGAGATGATAAGTAACTAGAATAAATGATATTTTATTAAAAAGAAAAATTATATTGGAGTGTTATTACCTTTGAGTTTATACATTCTAGCTTTCAAAATATTTCTTTTTAGATGCAGCTTCTGCTGTTTTCTTATTTCCTCTTTCTATGCATAGACATTTATTCTGAGACATCTTTGTAGATGTTGCTTGAAATACATAGTTGATAAGTAACCAGCATTTCTTCAAGAGGCATGTTGCTATGGCTGATTTTTTTGGCTGCTAACATTTGCCTGAGCCTGTTCTTCAAAATTAGCCCATACTTAAGGAACAAGAAAGACATGAAGAGAGTGTA